TCTACTTCTCGGAAATAAGAACTTTGGTTGTCTGATTTTCTTATGCACTATGCGTTAAGGTGCTTTTTCATGCGCAGCACGCTGCAGCAGCAATTCGTTACTATTGGTTAAGAATTTTATGTAAGCTAAATGACGCACTTCCGGCGCAAAATACATTTTGCCGCAGTTCGTTGAAGTTGAACCGAACGAACAGCAAGCGGCAAAATCGAGGCAATATTATTTATTGCAATAAATATTAGGAAAATTAACGAAGAATGGCTTCGGATAAGGTACGAATGTTTGTAAATTAGATTATTTTATACTTTACACTTTACTTTTTCAAATTTGTGGTAAAGTATAAAATGATCTAATTTACAAACATGTATCCGTACCTTATCCGAAGCTATTTTTCGTTTATTTTCCTAATATTTATTGCAATAAATAATATTTTTATAATGAAACGACGGACATATTGTACGCTTTCTCGATTTTGCCGCTTGCTGCTTGCTGTTCGTTCGGTTCAACTTCAACGAACTGCGGTAAAATGTATTTGCGCCGGAAGTACGTCATCTAGCTTACATAAAATTCTTAACCAATAGTAACGAATTGCTGCTGCAGCGTGCTGCGCATGAAAAAGCACCTTTATGCATTATGCGTTATCATATATGTAATATTACTATATGGCTAATGGGACGTGGTTTGCGATCGAAACACTACGGTGCCGCCCAGGAAGTAAGATATAAGGAGACTCCACTCCGTAAAATAAAAGTGGACCCATTTTAGGTTTCGAGTTCAGCTTCCGATTCTGATGAGTGCGAGTAAGAGAAATGATCATTTCTCTTACTCGCACTCATTATGCGCAGCACTACTAAATTCACGAGCGCTGCGAGTGTCGAGAATCGGAAACGGAACTCGAAACCTAAAATGGGTTCATGTCTTGTAGACTGGCGAGACCGAGTGGAGTCTCCTTATATCTTCCTTCATGGTGCCGCCAATGCTAATTCTGTCCTTATTTATGTTCAGTTTGTTGTAACGCGCAGGCGTCAATTTGTTGCGCGATACACTTATGTAGCACTCTACATGTGATATTTTGTAGGTTATTACAATCAGTGATTCCAGTAATTTCAATGAATTAAAGATTGATTTTGCTCACTATTATGTAAAAACATTTTGGGATTTGTCACCGTTTGTGAAGAATGTCGTATTGTATATAGCAGGTTATGTGTGTAATAAAGTGTACAAAAAAATATATTGTTCAACTTGTAAATTACAATTATTAGACAATACTATGCCACTGTTATCGAACATAAAGAATCAAGGACCATATATAATGTTTGTTATCATCATCAGATGTTTGTTTCATTTATAAAACAGCTGAAAAGATTATACGACAAAATTCTCATTGTGCAGTGTCTTCGTTACGTTTTATTTATATTAATATATAACTTTATTACTTGAAAAGATTTTACGGAAACCAATATTTTTACATATATCCATTCTTCTCATAACATAATAAACTATTGCTAACATCTTGTTTTGTATTAAATACAAAGTAACTAATTTT